CAAGAATAGCAGGAGGTATGATTCCTTCCATATGAAATCCAAATACAAAGAAAATTAATATCTTGTGATAGAAATTAGAAAGTCACAGAGGGTGCATATTCCTAAAAAGATGCAGATAACTTTCTGAGGAACACGGAAACTTTACTTATTTTTGGTAGTAGCTATATAAGTGTATATTCCGCCGCCCCCGCCCTTCAGGCCTTTGCTGCCCAGCTCCCGTCGGGGCCGCTTGGCTGGGCGCCGGGGCTCAGGGGAGCTGGGCAGCTCCTCCTCTTCTGACGACGAGGACGACTCCTCGGTGGCGGGGGCCGCCCCTCCCTGAGACACGGCCAGCTCCTCCGGCTCAGTCTTGGGGGTCAGCAGGGCACCTGCAGCCCCTTTCCCCGGGGCCTCCTCCTCCTCCTCCTCTGCGCGCCCTGGCTGATGGGTGCTCTGTCGGAGGAAGACGGGGTGGCTGCGGGGAGGCCCCTGCCGCCGCCTCCCGAGGGCTCCGGACCCCGCCCAGCCTCCGCCCGCACCTTGAGATGCTCCAGCATGGTCCTCTTCTGGGCGAAGAGCAGAGGGCAAGACGGGCACTTGAAGACACTGACGCGCTGGGGCAGCAGGTGCTGGTCGAAGTGCGAGGACAGGAGGGGCTTGTGCGTGAAGACGGTGTCGCACATGGCGCACTTGTAGATCAGCCTGTGGGAGGAGCCGGACGGTGCAGATGCCAGGCAGGGCGAGCACAGCCCCGCCCCTGCCCCGCAGCCCCTGTCCGTCTCACTTTGCCTGCTGCGTGAGGAAGGTCGGATGCTGGGAGTAGACATGGGCGTGGGCGCTGGGTGCAGATTTGAAGGCCATGGGACAGATGGGGCACTTGTGGAAAACTTCGCAGTGTGACGTCTGGATGTGGGACTTGATGGAGTTCACACCCCCGAACACCACTGCGCAGCTGGGACACCTGGGGGATGCACGGTACTGTTGGGGCGCCGTGCCCTTCCCAGCCCACTCCTCCCCAAGGCCTGGGCTGACAGGGACAGGAGGCACCGGGGGAGCACGGGCAGCAGGAGAAAGGAGGGTGCCGTGCAGACCCGGTGCCCGGAGCAGGCCTGTGGGGGCACAGCTGTAGCCCGGGCGCCCAGCTCTCCCCACCCCAAGGAACCGGCAGGCAGGGTCGGGGCTGCCAACGCCACAGGACTGCAGGACAGAGGAAGGCGGGCTCTCCCCGGGGCACCTAACGCGGCTGGTGCCCAGACGTGGCAGGGCAGGGAGAGGACGCACCTGTACCCCACACGCCGAGAGAAGTGCAGACAGGCCTCCCGCAGGTGGGTCTGGAAGTTGGCTTGCAGGAAGTTGCCCCCACACTCGGGGCACACATGGGGGGCTCGGTTCTTATGCGTGCGCTGGTGGGCGCTGAAGCTGCAGCGATTGGGCAGCATCATGGGACAGGACGGGCACACCTGTGGGGCCAAGCACAGTGAGTACCAGGGCACCCGGCCCTCCTCCTCCCCTAGCCAAGTGCCCAGTGGCCTCCTAGACCCCAACCCCGGCATCTGGGGCCCCCTCCCGAGGACCACGAAGGGCAACTCACATTGCTGCTGGCCCCGGGGGCTGGGGGCCCGGGCTGCTGGAAGTGGGAGGCCATGCCGGCCTTGTCCCGGCACTGCTGCTTGCACTCCAGGCAGCGGAAGCACGTGTACGGGGTGGCGGGAGCAGCGGGTGGATCTGTCGACAGTGGCAGCACAGGGGCCTCCGTGGCAACTGCAGCAATGGCAGAGGTGAGGGCCGCCTCAGCCTTGCCCAAGATGGGCAAGACCAGAGGTCCGGGAGCAGGCGGCACAGCCACAGGCAGCAGGGGCGTAATGTCTGGCTGCCCCACCATCTGGTCAAGGGCCACGGGCCTCATGACCAAGTGCGAGCACTGCATGACGAGCCCCTTGTCCTTGTGCTCGCGCGCGTGCAAAAGCAGGCTGCACTTGTTGAAGAAGACCAGGCGCCTGGCACAGTGATTGCAGGTGACCTCGATGCGCATGCTCCGGCGGTCGTAGTGCCGGGCCAGGCTCTTCTCCAGCGAGAAGGCATCACCACACTCCAGGCAGCGGTAGCCGGTGGGCGGGAGGGCCAGCCCTGCCTCAGCGGGCGGGCTCAGGTTGGGCCTGTAGGCGGGCAGCAGGTTCTTGCTGTTGAGGATCTTGTTGAAGGCCTCCACCAGGCTGGACTGGGTCCGGGAGATCACTGTGCCACCCGCTGTCCCTGGACCGGCGGCTGGCTTTGAAGGCTGCACCATCACCACTGAGGCTCCGTTCACCTTCTGACCCCCCGTCCCCAGCCCTGCACGCCCCTCAGCTTTGGGCAGGGTTTGGGGCACCAGGCCAAGCACGTTCTTAGCCATCATCTTAGGGCTGGTGGCAGAGCCCCCAGGCAGAACCACAGCCTTGCGGGCCACACTCGCTGCCATCAGCATGGCAGTGCTGGCGTTCTGGATGGTGGCCACGGGCAGCACCGTGCCTTTCAGCCTCGTGCCGTCGCCCAGCTGCACACTCACCACCTTTGGGCCCTCGGGGGCCGGGGCCGCAGGGGACAGCTTCAGCAGGCTCGGCTCGGCCAAGGGGGCAGGGGGATCAGGGTCTGAGGGGACGCGGGTTACAGTCCTAGTGATATTCCCGCACGATGTTTTAATGGTCTTGATCCGCACCTTGAGGGGCCTAGAGGAGTTGGAGGAGGCAGGGGAGTCGTTGCTGTCCTCGTCTGCAGCCTCGGCACCACTGGAGGGACTCTGGGGACTTCGAGGGGGAGACTTCACCACCAGCCCCTCATCTTCTTCTTCCTTCAGGGGCTTAGAGCTGGGCACGTTAGGAGAGGCAGGAGGGCTCTGGTGCCCTGGTGACTGCTTGAAAAAGGGCACCCCGTCAACCTGGGGAGGCGAGGCGCCTTCAGGGACGCCTGCGACCTCAGGACTAGAGCCTCGCTGACCTTGGCCCTGGGGATGAAGTGGGCTGCAGCTACCCTTCTTCAAGGGCCCGGGCGGCGGGGAGGAGCTAGGTGGCAATAGCACGGGGCCATTCTCTGGGGCCAGCTCAAAGGGCGAGGGGAAAGGAGGCGGGCTCAAGGCCCCCTCAGGAGGTGGGGAGGGCGCGGGAGGAGGCAGGGGGTCTGGGTGCTCCCCTGGCTCCGGCTCAAAATGAGCAAAGAGGTCCAAGGGAGCTTTGCCTTCTACAGCTTTTTCCTTCCAGGAACCCGCACTGGGAGGGGCTGGAGAGGACGGGGCTCCAGGAAGGGATGGCTCGGAGACCCCAAATCCATTCTGCATCGGAGGAGCCCCCGAAGCGCCTTCCTTAGTCACCCCCCCAGCCCGGGCCCCTTCCCCTCCTGCACCCCCAGACAGGGTCTCAGACTGCTCCGGACACACAGTGTTCTTGACGATGACGCTGACCGTGGAAATGTCCGCAGGCTGCAGGCCGTGGTCAGAGGCCTGGGCTGGAACCTCGGGGTCATCCCCAGCTGCCGCTGCTGCACCTTCAGATTCTCCTCTCACACTGGGCTCTGGCTTCCCCGGGCCTCCGGGCCCCTCACTTTCTTCTGGCCCAGAGTGTATGGCTTCATTTGCATCGATGTCAGGGATGTCAAAGGCAGCAAGGAGGTCATCAAAATCAGGGGTCTTCATATCCCCCATAGCGGCAGGTCCCAGACCTGAGGAAAACAAGGAGAGAGTGAGAAGGCTGATGACACGGGGACCTCCTCCCTCAGGACCTGTCTGTCTGTCCCCTCCAGCCGGGTGTACCTCCGCTGCACTGTGCCCCGAGGAGCTGCTGCAGGGCTGGAGTTAGTGAGCCCACACCAGCACAGGCACAGAAATCCAGCACACACAAAGGAAGACACTTGGGCCAGGGATGTAGCTCAGCGGCACAGCTCCTGCCTGGCAAGCACAAGGCCCTGAGCTCAATTATCGGTACCAAAAAAATTTCTTAAAAAGGGAGAACATTGTACAGACACAGAGAAGAGTAATGGGCAGAGGGGGCTCACTGGGCATCTTGGCTGAAACCAGCTCAACCACTCCTGGGCCCAGCACAGAGCCAATTGATCAATACTAATATTAAGGAGGAAGATGGATACAATGCTGTAGGTCCAAGGCTCATGCGTGCATGGGATCCATGCACACGCCTCGTGGATCTTCTGGGGCCCACGGAGATCCGACAGGCCATCTATACAAAAGGGTGGTGACTTGCCCCAAGACTGAAGAAACTGTTCCAGTTTATCTTTACAGTAGGCCTGCTGTATACACAAGTATTTCTGCCTCTTGCTATTTGAAAGAAGGAACAGGTCATTCATGTATTACAGGGTTATTCTGTTTTTTGTTTGTATGGTCTTTTGAGACAGGGTCTCACTATGTAGTTGAGACTGACTTGGAACTCACTATGTAGCCCAGGCTGGTCTTGAACTCACAGTGATCCTCCTGCCTCAGCCTCCCGGGTGCTGGGATTACAGGCGTGTACCACCACGCCCAGCAATCACAGGGTTATTCTGAGCATCCTATGAAACTGCAAACAAATACACTTTACTATTACAGCTGGGCCACATAAAGGCATGAGGTGAAGGAGGAGTGGGGCCAGGGCTGGGGTCATGCTAGAAATCAAGACGGGAAGAATAAAACACGAGAACAGAAAAGACAAAGAGAAGACAGACAAGGCAACCTGGCCACAAGGGCCCAGCCTAGGCAGCGCCCATCACAACACCTGCTGCTCGCTCACCTCCCTTCCCCTCCCCCACCGTTCTCAGGCTGACAACTCCAGCGCACCTTCGAGGCCACCGCGGCGGGAAAGCTGGCTCTCCACCCAACCCCTGGTCCCAGTCATTTCTTCTCTGGGCGCTGCACCCGAGTCTGTCCCCTAACTACGGTTCCTCAGCTTTTCAATATTCTTTAGCAACAGCAACCCCAGGAGTCTCACTAAACCCCAATCCTCTGCAGTGCAAAAGTCCCACGAGATTTACACAGCGCTAAACCAACTCGGAAGCCAGCTCTGAGTCTGTGGGAGCCAGGTCTACCCGTAGCAGACCCTCCCCTAAGTGTCTCTGCGCCTAGGAAGAAGCAAGGCAAACGGCCTCTATCCTTACGCACGCCCTGCCCAAGACACAAGCATTTCCCGGCCAGTTCTCTCACCGCTTTCCAGCCCTCTGACTGTAACTGGAGACGGTCCCAGCAGGTGGCAGCTGGCACTGCTTGGACCAAGGAGGGGGACCCCAACCAGAGGAAGGGGAGTCTTCCTCGAACCCTGCCCCCTACTTAATTCTCCAGACTCTGAGTTTAAACAAAGCCCTTGCTTTTGCCCTGTCGAATCCCTCAGGCCCGCTTGGGTCCGGCTCCCTCCAGTCAGCGCAGCGGTCTGGTGGACAGGGACCAGTGGGGACCAAGAGAAAACACCTGCGAACTTGCCTCTGCAACCTCCTCCTCCTCCTCCGGCGTGCAAGTGCTTTAGAGGTCACCCGAGAGCCACCTGAAGCAGACAGACGGTCACCCAGCGGCTCCAGCTCAAGGCCGAGGAGGCGCCCCCGCCGCAGAGCCCAGGCCTTGCTGCGGCTGCGGCGCCCGGTCTCTAGAGGTCCCTTCTGCCCGCCTCCGTTTCCCTCTGTTCTTCCCCCAAGACCCAAGGAAGGGGCCCAAGGAGAAGAGCGCTAAGGGACCTGGGGCGGGCGGGGGCTCCGCTGCCCTTTGCCCGTGCCGAGGGCCTGCTGCGCCGAGGAAGGCGAGGCGAGG